GCAGAATCTCAGGCCTCACTTCAGACCACTGGCTCAGAGTCTGCCCTTCAACTCGATCCCCAGGTGCTGAGAAACAGTGATCTAGAACAATGACTCTCAAGGCACACGGAACATCAGGAGCACCGGTGAGCGTTACAAAGTGCCCCTAGCCGCCCCCCATTCTCCACCCACTGAATCATGTTATCTGGCCGTGGGCACCCCAGGTGATTCTCACGGGCATCATGTTTGAAAATATCAGAGTTTTAGGAGGACTAAAATCCTCCCAGGTTCCTGTGACATCGCAAAGGAAAAAGACTTAGGAATGATCTGACGATCATCACCTGAGATTGTGGGCGCCTCCGAAGTTACAACACAAGTCCCAGATCAGAAACTGAGGCGGGGCTTGCCCAGTGTCACGCGCCTGGCAATAAGCGGCTGCCTCTGGCGCATGCGCAGTTCCTCTCTGCAAGGCCTTGCAGCCCCGCTCTCACCCACCGCAGGAATGCCTCTCCCTGACCAAGACACAAACCTTTTTCCCTCCTCCAGCCGACAGTTGCTGCCCATTACCTCTAAAGCGCCACGCCCTCACAGGTGCTGGACTCCCACAAATGCCATCCTCTCCCTACCCCTGTCACTGACCAATCAAGCCACACATTTAACTGGTTGACTCTCCCCCAAAGCCCAGTGCTGTCAGCCTTTTGATGCTGTTTGCGTCTCTTCTTGGGGCAGGTGAGGTATGTGGGTGGGAAGGGTATTGTCTGCTGGACTTGCATTCATCTTTCAGGAAGGCAATTAAGTTTCCTGCTTTGGGTCTTCTATTCAGAACCTCTTCTTTTTGTGGGTTCTACAGCTTTCTGGAATGTATGTGAACATCTCCTCTCTTGGCTTACAACCTCAAGACTTCCTCATTCTTTCAAACTGGCCACTTTGTCCTCTCCCCTCCCTACCCAGATAGGTGCTGCTCACCAAGTGGAGTGAGTTGAGCACACCTGGAACTGAAGAGCGTTTGACAGGGGGTTTAACCTGTCCATGAATCCCAGTATTTTACAATCTTGGCATACGCTAGAATATCCTGAGGAGTTTAGAAAACTCAAAGTACAGACTACACTCAGATAAATTATTCTGATTTTTTTTTAAACAAAAATAGGGGCGGGGGCTCACTATGTTGCCCAGGCTGGTCTTGAACACTTGACCTCTAGAGATCTTCCCACCTCAGCCTCCCAAAGTGCTGAGATTAGAGGCATGAACTGCTGCACCTGGCCTGCACCCAGATAAATTAAATTAGAAACACTGGGGGTGAGAAACAGGCATAAAGAGTTTATGGCCAGGTGCAGCCTGGCCTATGCCTGTAATCCTAGCACTTTGGGAGGCTGAGGCAGGTGGATCACTAGAGGTCAGGAGTTTGAGACTAGCGTGCCCAACATGGCAAAACCCCCATCTCTACAAAATGAGCCGGGTGTGGTGATGCAGTCCTGTAATCCCAGCACTTTGGGAGACCAAGGCAGGCAGATCACTTGAGGTCAGGAGTTCGAGACCAGCCTGGCCAACATGGTGAAACCCCATCTCTACTAAAATTACAAAAAAAAAAAAAAAAAAAAATTAGCTAGGCATAGTGGCATGTACCTGTAATCCCAACTACTCAGGAGGCTGAGGCAGAAGAATCACTTGAACTCAGGAGGCGGAGATTACAGTGAGCTGAGATGCGCCACTGTACTCCTGCCTGAGTGACACAGTAAAACTCTGTCTCAAAAAAAGTTGTTGATAAAATTCCCTAGGTGATCCCATTGTACAGCCAACGTTGAGGCCCCCCAGAAAGTGCAGGTAAAGTTGTTTGTGGATGGGCATAAGTGCATTTTCTTCTGGAAAAGCTAAGCCATACCTCTCATCCGATTCTCAAAGAGGTATACAACACCCTCCTCCTCTCTTCTTCAAAAAAGGCTCAGTGACAATAAGGAAGAATAACTTGCCAATTGTTAAGGAGACACCAAATACATGTGTTAACTAAATAAATAGGCATGAACATGCAGAGCAAGAAAAGTGTCTATTGTTCTCAAGGGGACCTTTGGGGGCCTTTGGGTGGGATGGGAAAGTCACTGCCACTCTCCCAACTAAGTGGGAAAATGGCTGATTTTAGATGCTGCCACTGCAGAAATCTGATTACTTAACTCTTGAGCCTTCCCGCTGCCCACAGAACTAAGCCTGACTCCCAGCTATAACACTGGTTCTTTCATTGCCTAGCCCCAGTCATCCTTTCTAACTCACCTCCCTCACTTCATCCCACATTCTAGCCCCAAGAGGATGCTCACTGTGCATTTTTTAGATGCCTTTTTTTTCGGTGCTTTCCCCCAGTTCCTTCCACTCTGCCTGTCTCAGGTGGACCTGGGAGGGGAAGTGGGACTGAAGGGACAGAGAATAACTCAAGGCAGAGTCCCTTAGTAGAGAAGGTTCAGTCTGTATTTGTCGAAAATGTGAGTGGGATAGCAACCTTCTGTTAGGTGCTCCTGCTTGGGGGAGTAGGGGAGATTCAGAAGGCCTGGTCTTTGAGAGACTTAAGTCCCAGAGTAGGAGGCAGACCTGTGATCCAATGAGTGCAGGCAAGCTTAATGGATGCTCTGAGAGGAATCTGTGGAGGGGAGATGAGGGGTGGAATGCGGAATGCAGGGTCAGGAAAGGCTTCGTCCCTAAAGAGATTGGCACCCAGCAGCTTCAGTGAAATGAGATGGGACTGGATTAGGAGGGTGAGGTCAGATGATAGAGGCCATTGAATGCCAACTGGAAGACACCCACTACACACAGATTGAACCCAGTTAGTGGCCCCAGCTTTGCTCATCTTGCTCCCTCAGGTAGTCTTTGCTATAATGCTAAGCCATTGAAGCAGACGGCCTGATTTTGAAGATGTCCCATCTGCCTGGTGGTGTCTGAGCTTGTAAAGGTACCAAATTTTCAGGAAGCCCCAGCTGTCTCCTATAGCATCTTCCTCCTGCCACTACCTGTGTTCCCAGGCCCCTGGGGCAGGTCAGGGAGCCAGGATCACTGACTCCGTAGACAAGAACGGTGGCTGTACTTTCCAGTCACAAGTCAGGCAGGATGTAGGTGTGACAATGAGCTGGACGATGGGCAGTCAGGGGCCTGCCAGCACAGCAGAGGAGGAGGGGTACAGCTTCTAGATTCTCAGGTTTGAATTCCATCACTAAGTGCTGGGAATACGGTGTCTACCAACCCAATACAGATGCTGTGTATAGAGCCCTGACCCAGAGTAGATGTTCTCTTCCTCTATATGCTTCTCTGGGCTGAGAATTTAGGTTAAACAGCTGGATCTTCTCCTCCCTGTACCACCCCCACCTCCCAAAGACGGTGCCCCTTCTGTAAGGACTACACTTTTTCCATTTGGGCTGCCAGGATGCTCTAATTGTTATGCACTTTCCTCTAATAAGGCACAGAGGGCTCATTATGTAAATTCAAGGAAAAAAGCCCCAAATCATGAATTACGTCTGTATTATAATAATAAACATTTTAACGAACACTTATCAACTGCCAGCTATATTAGGTGTAAATAACAGGTGGATGCAACATGAACTCCTGAGGCTAGAGAGTCACTGCCTCCACCCTACTCCTTCAAGAATTTCAAGAAACAGTTCATATGCTATCTCTTTTCTTCCTCTCCTGTATCCCCTCTCGAGATGGAGACTCCCTCTGTTGTCCAGGCTGGGGTTCAGTGCTGCGACCTCTGCTCCCGGGTTCAAGTGATTCTCCTGTCTCAGCGTCCCGAGTAGCTGGAATTACAGGTGCCCACCACCACATCTGGCTAATTTTGTTATTTTTTAGTAGAGACGGGGTTTCGCCATGTTGGCCAGGCTGGTCTCAAACTCCTGACCTCAGGTGATCTACCCTCCTCGGCCTCCCAGAATACTGGGATTACAGGAGTGACCCACTGTACCTGGCTCTTTTCAAAAGCAAGCTTATACATTCTCCTGGATTCTGAAACTATTGACAATACTTAAAGTTAGTTTTTTTTTTTTTTTTTTTTTTTTTTTTTTTTTTGCCATTTAAACATAAATATTAATGACTTAACACTTGTATGGTGCCTCTCACCTCAGATTCATTCATTCAACAGGTATTTAATAGATGTAGCAGGAATTGTTCTAGGAACCAGGGATACAGCAGGAAGGGAATAAGCTGAAGTTCTTTTTTTTAATTAAAAATTTTTTTTTAGAGACAGGGTTTCACTGTTGCTCAGCATTCTGGTAGACAAAGACAATAGGGAAATCAACAAGTACAGAAGTAACACTAAACGGCAATAAGTGCTGTAGGGAAACATAAAGAAGAGTAAGGTGAATAGAGGTGGGGGCGGGGGCATGGAGTTTAAGAACTGCTATTTGGCTGGACTAAAGTTAAAATTACTTTCTAAGGGACAGAAGAAGGACTCGAAATCATGTTCCTTGGCTTCCAGTCTTGTGTTCTTTTCTTATAAATCCTCTAAAGGAATTTCTCATATAAGAAACCATATCCTCTTGAACATCGGAAGCTCTTTTTTGCCAATGCAAGGTAAGGAAGGATTTGGGCACGTGGAAGGTACTCAGTTGCTGGAGTCAGGTTATGGGAAGGTAAATATCAAGAATGATTAGAAGGAAAAAAAGTATTATAGGTACTAAGGAAAAGGACGATCTTAATTTTAAAAATTGAATTGTATGGAGAGCTGACTTTTTTTCCTCCTCATCTTCTTTGTGATGGCACAGAGAGCTGAATTTTCTTTAAAACAGTTTTATTACCTTTTTTTTTTTTTTTTTTCAGATGGAGTCTCGCTTTGTCACCCAGGCTGGAGTGCAGTGGTGCTATCTCGGCTCATTGCAACCTCCGCCTCCCAGGTTCAGCTAATTTTTGTATTTTTAGTAGAGACGGGATTCCACTATGTTGGCCAGACTGGCCTCAATCTCCTGACCTCAAGTGATCTGCCTGCTTCAGCCTCTCAAAGGGCTGGGATTACAGGTGTGAGTCATGAAATTAAATCTTATTTCACATGTGTAGGAATATGTAGATACAAATCACAGATTAGGAAAAAGATTCAAAAGTCCTGATTATTAGTTGGGAAATGAGGTTACTGACGAAGTCCTCGGTGTTGGAGGAGCCCAGCTTCCTTACAGAGCCATGAGAAATTAATGACTGCAAACTGGTAGGTCCCAATGTCTACTGGGAAAGGCAGGAGTCTTTGGAGTCAGATAAAATCTAGGTTTAAATTCTGACTCTGCCACCTGGTAGTTTTGTGATATTAGGCAAGTGATGTGAATGCTCTCAATCTGTTATTTGGCCTCTATGTCAGGAACTGTGCTAGGTGTTTGGATACAGAAGTTTGAGATGCGAAGGGTCCTGCCCTCCTAGAGATTCAACAGATAATTAAGGAAAGGTGGGCTTCCTAACGCCGAAGGGACTGAGAGTAGTGAGAGTAAGGCTTAACCAGGCGGAGAGGGAGTTGGGTCCGGGGAGGCAACATTTTAAGAAAATATGCGAGGGGCTGATAGGCTGGAGCGGCCGAAGTCCAATACACAGTTGTTCTTGTGGGTCTAATGCAGGTGGTTGCGATTATTTCATCAAACAAATATGAAAAGCACCTAACGCTGAAAGCACTTGACCCAGAAATAGGAGTCAGGGCCGGGGCGCGAACCCTCAGCTGTAAATCCCTTTCCATAAGGAAGAGGATTCCAACCTCCACTACAACAAGAGCAAAACACACTCGCTGTAAGGAACGGAGGAACGAGTCAGACGATTGGGGGCAGGTTCCAGGTGGGGGGCGTGGCCTCGGGCGACTGCCGGATGTCCTCTTCCGGAACCGGCCCGTGCCCCGGAAGCAGTTGTTGTTTGTTGGGGGCCTTTTGACCAGTGACGGAGACTGTCCAGGGGTGGTCAGCATGTTCCTCTCCGCCGTCTTCTGTAAGTGGGGATGGAGGCGCCGGCAGGGGTTACGGTGAGGGTTGGGGACCCGTGACAGGCAGGGCCCCGGAATGATGTGGGGAAGGATGTGCGAACAGGCCGGGAAGCTACAACTGCGGACTTTTCCAGGCCTTCAGGACCACAGCGTCCGGCATGCCCCGCGGCGCGCCTCCCTGCGCGGACGTGTGGGTGCCTGAGAAGGGGTCTGTGGTGTCTGGATTCAGTTGCCGTCCTCGCGGACTGTTGAGTCTGGCTCTGGGGCGTTTTTCTCCAGCCCGTGTTAGGAGAATCACTGCATGTCCGAAGGACATCCGAAGATTCTGAAGGACCTCAGAAATTGTAGCCCACCCATTTCGAACTCTAAAAATAAGGAAACGGCTCCCGAGAGGGGCAATGAATTGCCCGAGTACTAACGGCAGGGCAGTGAAAGAAGTCCTCGGGCTCCCGAGTCAGTGCTCTTCCTTACACCTGGCTGAATTCCCAGTAAGATTTAGTGTCTGATTTTCACCACATGTGATGGTTGTTACTATTTGCAAAGATTAACTTGTCAAACAAGAAGCTTGCTGCAGTGCAAATACTTGCACTTTAGAAGAGGGAAAAAGTGGAGCAGGCATTACTTTAGAAAGATTTAAAAGGTAGCCAGTCCAACAGACATGAAATTGTGCAAAATATTAAATCTAGAATTGTGTTGGTCTGATTGGCTCTTTTAACCTACCTTCTATAAAATCCTAAGGGGTTCCTTAATATATAGGGAATAGTTACTTGAGTGACACCTCATGGCGTATTTCATAAGTTAAATATTTTTGGTTATTACTGACATATAATGAACTGACATATAACTGAACTTTGCATAAGAAAGATACATTTATATTTTTATTTTTTTTTCCAACCTTTCCTGTCTACAAAAAAGTTGCCAAGAGCAAGTCAAAGTAAGTAAAGATTTTTCCTTTTTTAAACGTCACTTGTTTATGTTAGATTTGTTAGTCTCGTTGCTCCCAGTACATCCTTATATGAAATTAAGCATTGGGCCTCGACTTCCTAAGAGTTAGTCTGTGGATTACTTAGTTGATAATTTTTTCTCTATGAACTCTTTCAAAAAATATTTTCCCTCCTGCCCAACTGAGCTACTTCCGTGAGCACTGAAATACTTAAAGGAGCCTTTGCTGCTTTTCTAGTCCCAGGATTTGTGAGCTCACTGTCTGTTTCTAAACAAACCATTGGGCTGTGCTGTATTTGGACTACCACCACATTTCCATTTCCTCAAATTGAGGACCAGGGGCCATTTGTCTGGATCTCACTACAGGAATCCAGAAGAACAAACTCTGCTTTGATTAAATCATAGAGTCTGTTTTAATGAGTTTTGTAATCACTTGCATTCATGGTATAAGCATTTCAAAAATAGCCAAGATTAAAGATTCCATGCTGTACCAGAGAGACTAGAACTACCAAACTTGTATTTCAAAATAAATGTTGTAGACAATAACTGAAGATTTTGTGGTAAAAATAGGGAAGTTCTAAAGCAGCCTTTCCTTGCAACTCAAGACACTGAAAATCCTTAAAGCTAGTCTTTTGGATTAAAGTTAATGATAAACATGTATGTTAGCGCTTTCCCTCTCAGTATCTTTTAGTTATTCACGTAGCTTTCCCCACAGTCCAGTTATTTATGTCAGAATTCCCTACCCCCAGGATGTATAGGAATCCCTTGCCTTTGGTTTCTGTAGAGGTATATTCTGACTTTTTGTACCCTTGTGATGTATTTCATATATGTCTTGCCTGATCGACCTCATGTACCAGCTCACTAGGAGTACTGCTAGGAGTACTGTTAGCTCCTAGAGGACATAGACATAGACTTACAGAGCTTTGTATTTCCCAGAGTGCCTTCCATAGAGTAAGTGCTTAAGATTTGTTGAATCTGTGTTGAATGGATAATTATTGTCTATCTTAATTAGAAATAAATACTGTATGCCCCTTATGAGGCACTGTGCTGAATGTTGAAAGCAATGCAGTGATGTGTAATATAGTCTTAGATGCTTCCAGGTTGTTCTGGAATTACATGAGAAATAACATGGTCTACATGAGGAGACAAGACACATGAAAAAATAACAGACAGTATAGGTATTAAAAGATCTGGTGAGGCAGACATGGACTTTCTGCTTTGGATGACTGTAACTTAAATACGAAGGGGCACAAGGTTTTGCACATTAGCAACCTAAAAGCTTCAGTCCCTTTCTTTTGGCCCTTCCTGATGATAATCATTTATGCCCCGAAGAGAAGGCTGTTCTGAGACAGCTATCTTTACCATTTCCTCACTAGCCAGCTGTGGTTACCAGTACTTTGATATTTTCCCCTTCCTGACTTCTGCTGCTCGTGAGGGTTGGATGTCTGAGGCTAGTCCCCCATGTGGCTTGATTGTTCTTATTGTTTTGGTTAGGTCATTGTGAAGTAACTCTGTGTAGTGGAGCAAATCCCATTGAAATTGTTTCATGGAAAACTTAGGCTGTCTTACAGCTGAACCTTCTTAGGGCCAAGTGATATCCCACAACTAATATTACCCTACAGAGTTCTCAAAATGTGCCATCCCCCCATGACTGATTTTAGTTTATTTCGTCAGCTCACATGTAACAGCATACTTTTTAATCTTAGAAACATTTTGGTGAGAATGGTGAGCCAAGCTGGGACAGGTTTCTGCTTCAACACCAAGAGAAACCGACTGAAGGAAAAACTGACTCTTTTGCATTATGATCCAATTGGTAAGATCTGGGGAGGTTAATGCTTCCAAGGCCTGTTGCCCCCTTTGTAGGCTGAACATCTGAACACCTCTGGGAGTTTTTTTTAGCCTCTGACACTAGCATTCATTTAGTAAATAGGTATTGAATGATTATTATGATGCTATTTAACATCCCAGGTGCTGGGATGCACCAGGACACAAGACAAGTCCCTGTATTCTTGGCACTTAGTCTAGTCTGACAGGGGGAGAAAAAATGACAAATTATAAGTGCTATGAGAGAAACAATCAGGATGCTGAGGTGTAGGATTAAGTTGGGGAGTGGTAGGGAAAGTCACATTAGATGGCTAAGTCAGGGAAGGTCTCTCCAGGAGGAGATAGTTAACTGAGACCTGAAGGTGAGAAACCAGCTATGTAAAGAGAATAGGTGGTAGTGGTCTGGAAACAGACAAGTGTCTTGAGAAGGGGATGGTATGGTGTCCTGGCATCATCTGTTCAACAGTGGCTACTTTTTGGGTCCTGATATAAGTTAAATGAATATGATTTCTATATATTAGTGCAGTGGGGGTAGGAAATTTGATTTTTCCATTTTGTGCCATCCACTAAAATGCTGTACTATATGGTAACTTTAAATGGTCTCATTAGATGGAAGTATTTATCTAGAAGAGACAAATGTTCCCAAAGCCAGATTATCTGCTCACAAACAAAAATAGAGTCAGCACCTGATGCTGTTGGTGGACGCCTATCCTGTTTCTGGATTTTATGTGCAGATTTATGCAAAAATAGCAAACACGTTTGCTCTGGTTGTTCATTTCATTTTTGTGCTCTTTATAATTAATTTTTTGTTTGTTTGTTTGTTTTTTTATTTTTTTGAGATGGAGTCTCGCTCTGTCGCCCAGGCCAGAGTGCAGCGGCGAGATCTCGGCTCACTGCAAGCTCCGCCTCCCGGGTTCACGCCATTCTGCTGCCTCAGCCTCCTGAGTAGCTGGGACTACAGGCGCCTGCCACCATGCCTGGCCTAATTTTTTTTTGTTGTTGTATTTTTAATAGAGACGGGGTTTCACCGTGTTTGCCAGGATGGTCTCGATCTCCTGACCTTGTGATCCTCCGGCCTCGGCCTCCCAAAGTGCTGGGATTACAGGCGTGAGCCACCGCGCCCAGCCTGTTTTTCTTTTTTAAATGGAGTCTTACTCTGTCACTCAGGCTGGAGTGCTGTGATGCAATCTCAGCTCACTGCAACCTCTGCGTCCTGGGTTCAAGTGATTCTTCTGCTTCATTCTTCCAAATAGCTGGGACTACAGGTGCGTGCCACCACACCTGGCTAACTTTTATATTTTTAGTAGAGAGAGAATTTCACCATGTTAGCCAGGTTCGTCTTGAACTCTTGCCCTCAGGTGATCCACCCACCTCGGCCTCCCAAAGTTCTGGGATTACAGGCATGAGCCACCGCGCCTGGCCATTGCTTCTTAACAAGATAATGGCTGTAATAACACGAGCAGACATTTTTTAAAGGCTCTAAGAAGCACAATTGTCAGCTTAAAGTTTCTTGTGTTCCATCCTTTAACAGAAATAAAATTCCTTGCTGTTTTTATGGTGTTCAAATTTCTGTTTATTATCACAGTAAAAAGGGAATTCTAGGTTTGTACCTGATGATAAGGAGTCTGAATTTCAGGGTGATTCCTCATATGGTGGAAAAATGAGGAGGCTTGCTGTTGGATTGATACGGTTTAGAATTGGATTGGTATGTTTTACTCCCTCTGATTTCTTTGTGTCAGCTGGTGAAAAGTCAAAGGGATGAACTTTACAATAAAGTAAGTATTTTTCTACCATATTTATCTCTCTTAGTAAAAGGTGAAACATTTATACGAGCCGAAGAGAAACCAGAGTATATATATTTAACTCTTTATTTTTAGAAACTTGCACAACACTAATAAATATTGATTGAATAACCTTCTGTGATATATTAAGTATAAAAAATGTATGTATTGGGCTTTTCATCCTTAGTATGGAGGTATTAGGAACTTAATATTTGTCAGTTTGATTTTAAGTTTTGAGATTGGGAAAGGATACAACCATAAACAGTTCTGATCGAAGTGGGAGAAAAGAGTCACACAGAAATTTCAAACAGACGCTTAGAACTTTTCTCAAAAGGAATGTCCTTAGCTTTGACAGCACAACTTTGTCTTTTCTGAAGAAGAGAATGTTCTGGGATAGCAGACTCCCTGGCTTTCTGCCCACCTGCTGAATGCCCTGCAGGTGCTCGTGATGTTTGCCTCGGGGCCTGCCCCATTGCCCAGGGTACCAAATAGCTTGGCAGTTCTCCTAGCGTGTTTTACTGTGATTAGTAAATTGTTAAGATTGAGGAAAATGATTATTCGTCTGCTTTATCAAGGAAATAGGTAAGGAAATGTGAAAAAATTCCCAATTATTTGAGCATTTCATAATACAGTCTGTGGCAAGCAGCAGCTGCATATGCCTGTCCTTTCGAACTCTTTTTCCATGTATAAAACTAGATGCTAATTTCCGAAGAGGAAGGATTAAATGCTGAGGCATAAGCTTATTAAACTTTCGTAAATGTATTGAAGGTTTATCATAAAGAGAATGAAAACTTGTCAGTTTTAATTCCTTGGATGACTAAACAAGACAATATATACTTTAATTGAAGCAGAATCGGTTTTGGTTAGATGTAGGGAGAGAACTTGACAGATTCATTCTTCTGTGCATTAAGCATTAAATATTTTGACAGAAAATTCATGTTTACAATTGTGGGTAGCAGTGTGTCATTTCAACTCACTTAACACGTGTTGAGTGTGCACTGTGTGTCCGGCAACAACCTTGTGAGGGAGATAGTTATCTCTTCCACAGGGAAGAAAGCAGGGTAGAGTATTTTGAGAAATTTTCCCAGGGACTCATAGCTGATAAATGGTGGAGCCAGAGTTGGAACCCAGCCTTTCTCACTCCAAGTCCCTGTTCTTTTTTTTTTTTTTTGAGATGGAGTCTCGCTCTGTCGCCCAGGCTGGAGTGCAGTGGCGCGATCTCGGCTCACTGCAAGCTCCACCTCCCGGGTCCATGCCATTCTCCTGCCTCAGCCTCCCAAGTAGCTGGGACTACAGGCGCCCGCCACCGTGCCCGGCTAATTTTTTTGTATTTTTAGTAGAGATGGGGTTTCACCATGTTAGCCAGGATGGTCTCAATCTCCTGACCTCGTGATCTGCCCGCCTTGGCCTCCCAAAGTGCTGGGATTACAGGCGTGAGCCACCGTGCCCAGCAGTCCCTGTTCTTTTATTTAATTTTTTTAAAAAATAGAGATGGGGTCTCACTGTGTTGTCCAGGCTGGTCTCGAACTCCTGAGCTCAGGCAGTCTGCCCACCTTTGCTGTCCAAAGGATTGGGATTACAGGCCTGAGCCATTGTGCTTGGCCCTTCTAATTTAAACACAGTTTTTTTTTTTTTTTTTTTTTTTTTTTTTTAAGAGACAGTGTCTTTCTGTGTTGCCCAGGCTGGTCTGGAACTCCTGTCCTCAAGTGATCCTCCTACCTCAGTCTCCCAAGTGCTGGGATTATGGGCATGAGCCACCATTCCTGGCCAAGTCCCTGTTCTGTCTCTTACATGGAGCCAAGTTAATCTTTCTAAAACTTTTTTGTTTGTTTGTTTTTTTAAATCAAGACCTATCCCTGTGGTCAGGCCATGGATGCCCACTGTGAGACTCCTACCATCATCTAACCGGATGCCCATTCGTGGTTCATTTAATCCAAATGCTGATCTGTCTTCAGGGACCAAACTTGACACTTTCCATGAGGCCTTCTGTCACCATTCCTGTCCCTTCTGACCTTTAGGGTCCTCTGGGGTTTACTGAACATTTGTGTGGGCACCTCATGATGTACTGATGTATTAAATCAGGGAGTCTTCTTACACTTTTGTAAACTCTACATTGCCTCGCACAGTTCTGTGGTCTTAAATATTTATTCTTTGAGTTAAAGGAATAGGTGCAGTGAATGAATGAAAGAATTCTACTCCATATAGCCTTGCTCTACTAACCTTAATCAGTTACTCCTAGTCAGGGTCATTTAAATTGTCTCCAGATTGCTTTTCAGTGAGACAACTCCCCCACCCCCCGCCTTTTTTTAAACCAAGTTTTTAGTTCCCTGTAGAAAACCATGGGGGAAATAGTTCTTGTAATTAATAACACTGATGAGAAACTGTTTTGGTTCTTTACTACCATCTTGTAATGCATTAATGCATTGTAGTCATCCCTGGAGTTTTAGGAGGATCAATCCTACTTACATTTCACATGGTTTGAAGTATGTTAAAAAGATCCCTTATGTACAGTGTATTAATATTATAGATAAAAATGTGTTGACAGGTTAATAGTTCTTAAATTCAGCTGCCCATCAATTGAGGAGTTTTTTTTTTTTTTTTTTTTTGAGACGGAGTCTCGCTCTGTCACCCAGGCTGGAGTGCAGTGGCCGGATCTCGGCTCACTGCAAGTACTGCCTCCCGGGTTTACGCCATTCTCCTGCCTCAGCCTCCCGAGCAGCTGGGACTACAGGCGCCCGCCACCTCGCCCGGCTAGTTTTTTGTATTTTTTAGTAGAGACGGGGTTTTACTGTGTTAGCCAGGATGGTCTCGATCTCCTGACCTCGTGATCCACCCGTCTCACCCTCCCAAAGTGCTGGGATTACAGGCTTGAGCCACTGCGCCCGGCCTCAAATTGAGGAGTTTTAAAAAAATGTAGACTTCCAGTCCAACTCTAGCCTTACTAAACCAGGATTAAGGTAGGAGTGGAGAGTGAGAATGGACTTACTTAAATAAGGTAATTCTTAATCGTAGATAGCTTGGGGATCTCATATACAGAGTATCCATGTTGACTATAGAAGGAAAAAGCTAAAATGTGTGATAGGGACAAGTGAGGAATTGTTAGGTCATAGTTGTTTAGGTCTTCCTTGGGTGATTGTTCCATTTCTGGTGTATTTTTGTTTTAGCAAGGAGGAAATAGGTAGGGGGGTATTTGTGTGTGTGTGTGTGTGTGTGTGTGTGTGTGTGAGAGAGAGAGAGAGAGAGAGAGAGAGACAGAGAATGTTGGAAGTTAATGGAGTGCCATAGGGCATTATAGAACTATGAAAGCCTTACTGCTCAGCATCTAGTCTTCAGTCATTTTTTTTGAGACGGAGTTTTACTCTTGTTGCCCAGGCTGCAGTGCAATGGTACGATCTCGACTCACTGCAACCTCTGCCTCCTGGGTCCAAGTGATTCTCCTGCCCCAGCCTCCCGAATAGCTGGGATTACAGGCATATGCCATGCCTGGCTAATTTTGTAGTTTTAGTAGAGATGAGGTTTCTCCATGTTGGTCAGGCTGGTCTTGAACTCCCAACCTCAGGTGATCCGCCTACCTTGGCCTTCCAAAGTGTTGGGATTACAGGCGTGAGCCATCGTGCCCGGCTAGCCTTCAGTGTTTCATCCAGGCAGGTAGCACTTTGTTTCAGAGAACTGTACTCTGGGATATTTATAATAATGAGATTTTGGTTATGATGTTAATTATAGTACCAAACTAAAAACTCCATATTTGGGTGTATTAACCCATCTCTGGGAAGTAGAGGTTTAGTGTCTATTACTCTTCCAGACAGTGTGGTCCACTTGGTTCTTGCTGCTCTTTTTCTGGAGTCCAGCTCCCAGTCTGTCCTTGCTTACCTCCTGCAAGAGTGGACATTAATTGGGTGAAAGCATTGTTTTCCATTTTTGTCCCTAGTTTTCTTTCTTAATGTGAATATTTCTATATTGGTTTAAATAATGACTTGTGGGATACCAAGGATGTTGCTGATTAGCTAGTGGCCCTATAGCCATTTTCTCCAGTCTGCCCTGGCTGTTGGGATGGAGGAACTGAGTTTGCAAATCAGCTCCATCCTCATATCAAGAAATAGTAAAATAAGAGAAAGAAGAGGGCTTATGGTCTGATACATATTTTTTATAAAAATGTCGATGATACTTTATAATAATTTTCTGCTACAATTCTTTTTTTCTCCCTCCATAGTGAAACAAAGAGTCCTCTTCGTGGAAGATAAAAAAATACGCTCCCTTTAAATGGTGGATTGAAAGTGACTTTGATTTATAAAGAGAAGACTGAGGGCGGGGATACTGATTCAGAAATCCTGTAGTGTGTAATAAAAGAAGAGGAAATGGCATGGAATCACTGCCTCCTGTGATTTGAAGACCATTGTGAAGGAAAACAATGCAGTGAAAGAAAGTTCTTCATATTAGGACAGATATCATTGCATCACATTTATTTATCTTTCTGGGTATTTTTATAGCCCTTAATAAAAAATATTAAAATAGCCTATGCTATTGTGTCTTAGTGATGTTTTTCCACACTATTTGAGGTTTTAAAAATCAACCACACTACTAAAAAATAACCATTGTTTCATGTAATAAATGTTTCCATAACAACACTTATGTAAGAGTTTCCAGCCTGCTCCCTCTGTACTCAAGAGAAAAGGCAGAGTAACAGTCCCGAGTGATCTTGAAGAAACTCCCATGTAATAACAAAGATGGCAAGGGGGACCAGGAATGACAAAAGAAGGAGCCTTATAACACAAATCAAGAGAACTTCTATTTCTGATTTGTGCTTAATTAGGAAAAATGCCACTGGCCTATATTTTCAAACCTAGGTCACCAAAGCAGTATCTAGGATTTTGTGGGACAGCTTTGGATTCCTTTATTCCCTAGGTATTTCTTTCCTTTTAAAATAAAAGAAGCTATAGTGTATTTCCATAAAGCCACTGCTAAGACTTCTGAGGCATGGTGGTACCACACAGCTAACTAGCATGGAATTCTGGGAGCAATCCCTAATGTTCAGATAGGGACCTCTGTCCTGCCCGGAGCCATACACTTTCTCACTCGGGCTGTTGTTTCCCACAAGTTTTCAAAGTTGTCCAGTTTTCTCCTTTGTCAAGTTTCTGGTTGAAAAGGATCTGCTCATTTTAAGCTCTGCTGGTTCACATCCTACCCCATTTAAAGCATTTGTGTGGGAGAATGATACCGTGCCCACCCTGACTACAAAATAAGAAGTTCCTTCTCCATGGCCCAAACCTGGCTCCGAGGGAAATGTAAGAGTAGCTCTCTGGTGGTTTAGAGGAATTAGAGGCAGATAGTTGATGAGTCTTAGGGGCTTGTGGCCTCATGGTCAATCGGCTATTTTATGGCATCTTTTGATAAAGCTCTGGTTCAAAGCAATAATAGGTGAGATCTTGGCTCTTTTTAGGCTGAAACTGTACATAGTATTGAGTTATAAGAAAAATCACCTGCTCCTGGCTAAGCTGATGTAAAGGGTCTGTGACATACATGAATTGCTTTAAAAAAAAGAACTTACCTGGTTTAACAAATGACTTACTTATTCAGTCCATGGGTTGAATGTGGCCCATAGGTGGTGGTTACTTCTTTTTTTTTGATACAGGGTCTGCTTTGTCACGCAGACTGGAGTGTAGTGGCATGATCATGGCTCACTGCGGCCTCCAACTCCTAGGCTCATGTTATCCTCCCACCTCAGCCTCCTGAATAGCTGGGACTACAGGTGTGTGCCACCACGCCTGGCTAATTGTATTTTTAGTAGAGATGAGGTTTCGCCATGTTGCCCAGGCTGGTCTCAAACTCCTGGGCTCAAGCAATTCTTCTGACTCGGCTTCCCAAAGTGGTGGGATTACACCCACCACGTGAGCCACCACGCCCCTGTGGTGTTTACATTAAAAAAAAAAAAATTAGTTGCTGATACATAAACATTGAAGGGTTTCAATAAATATCCAAACTTCTGCCTTCCCTTACAAAACCAGAGGTCTTGACAACACTAAGCTAAAGTTGTATCAGCTGCCCCTCTTAGAAAGTGCCCTTTCCCTTAAGAAGAGTCTGCTCTGGCTCTAGACACTGTTGTCCACAACCTTTGCCGTATGGTGCACATGGGGCATTAACAATCTGTTGACAATTGAGTTTACTTGTCCCTGAAGAGTGGTAATGTTTGTACAGATCTTGGTTGTGGAATCTTTAGTTCTGGCTGGTTTGTGCAAATGCATGGAAAGCAAAAGAATCATCGTTACAAATAAATTGAAGCTTGAGGATGACTTTTTGTAGAAGAACTAATATTTGCAAAGAAAGGGGATGAGGACATTTTCTAATAAGTGTTAGCCAGGAGCAGCCACCCCCAAGTACATTTTATTCCCAGGTATATTTATTTTGGGACTAATAGCAATCAAAACAGAGTAAGCGGAAGGTCTTTTTTGTAAGGGTAAGATGACTGTGTTCCTGCAGCCTGGACGCTGACTGCTGCAATGAAATTGGATCTCTTGAGCATGTCTTCCAAGGACAAATTTGGATAGTAAGCCAGGTAGAAGGCCAAAGCTCCCACAAAGCTGTCACCAGCACCCTGTAATTAAAAGCACACTTTTGAAGACAAGCATGTAGTCAATCTGTTGCCCAAACTGCATATTTTAAAAATATTTAAGTAAACTTAATTTTAGTTTTAGATTTACAGAAAAGGTACAAGGATAATACAGAGTTTCCATGTACTCATACCCAGTTCTGTTAACATCTTACTGTGGTACATTTATCACCACTAAAGAAATAATATATTATTAACTGAACTTCATACTTTTTTTCAGATTTTACTAGTTTTGCTTAATGTACTTTTTCTGTTCCAGGATCCCATCCAGCATGCCACATTACATTTAATTGTCATATTTGCATAGACTCCTGTAGGCTGTGATAGTTTCTTAGACATTCTTTGTTTTTGGTGAGTTTTTTTTTTTAAGAGACATGGTCTTACTCTGTTGCCCAGGCTGATGTGCAGTGGCACAATCATAGCTCACTACAGCCTGGGCTCAACTCCTGAGTGAACTCCTGCTGGGCACCGGCAATCCTCCTGCTTCAGCCTCCCAAGTAGCCGGAACTACAGGCATGTGCCACACCTGGCTATGTTTTAAAAATTTTAATTAAAAAAAAAAAAAAAGACAGGGTCTCACTATGTTGACTAGCCTGGTCTTGAACTGCTGGCCTCAAGCAATCCTCCTGCCTCAGCCTCCCAAATGCTGGGATTACAGGTGTGAGCCACTGCACCTGGCTGTTGTTGATGACTGATAGTTTCGAGGAGGACTGGTCACGTATTTTGTAGCACGTATCTTAATTGAGATATGTCCATTTTTCTCACAGGCTGTGGTTATGGTTTTTGGGAGGAAGACCACAGAGGTGAAATGTCATTTTCATCACATCATCTGAAGGGTACATACGATCAACATGACTTCTCACTGATGGTGTTAACCTTGATCACCTGGCTAAGGTAGTCTTTGCCAAGTTTATCCACTGTAAAGTTACTTTGCTCCCTTTTTTCATGTTGCACTTTGTTTTTTTTTAATTTTAATTTTTTTTTTTTTTCATGTTGGAAAGCAAGTCATTAAGTTGTATTCCACTCTTAAAGGCTGGGGAATTATTCCCTGAAGTTATGCTCTATCTCCTTAAGGGTGGAGTTTCTATGCTCTATCTCCTTAAGGGTGGAGTTTCTACATAAATTATTTGGAATTCTTCTGTATGGTAGATTGGTCTCTTCCATTTATTTATTCAGTCATTTATATCAGTATGAACTCATCGTTATTTGTTTTATTTTTTGGGCTATAATTCAATGCCATATTATTTTGTTGTTCAAATTGTTCCAGCTTTGGCCATTGGGAGCTTTTCCAGTTGGCTTCCGTGTCCCTTTGACATACGCCCATCCTTTTGGTTTTGAGTACTTTCTGGCATTACAAGATGCCCCAGGGGGCCGGGCGTGGTGGCTCACACCTGTAATCCCAGCAATTTGGGAGGCTGAGGTGGGCACATGGCTTGAGCCCAGGAGTTTGAGACCAGACTGGGCAACATGGCAAAGCCTTGCCTCTACAAAAACAAAACAAACAAAATCCCCCAAGATGCTCCAGGATCATCTTGTATAGTCCCTGCCCTAGCCCTAGAATTAGCCATTTCTTCATTAAAAATGCATGCAGAAAGAGCTGAGAGCCATTTGATATTATTTCTAAACCAAATATAGGGGCACATCAAGTTTCTTTCCATTTTCTCTGAAGCTCCAAAGATCCAAGCTGGTGAAGGCCATGGAGACACAAAACATCCTGAGAAAGTCTATGGACGTGTGCCTTTGGACAGAGCAATACCTTGTCATGTTTGGCTAACAATTGCGTTCAGGACAATTTAAATGTGACTACACAGTCTCACTTGAAAAACCATTCTTGTATTCAGCAGCTCTCAGGGTCGTTTTCTACCTCTTTCCAGTTTGCTGGTTCCTTAGACCAGGCTTTCATAACAAATCTTGAGGCTATACCTCAGGCCTTTTAAAGAACCTTGGCATGCAAGATTGTTCCAGTCACAGTTGATGTATTTGATGGGCTATGTGCCCAGCACAGTGATGGGTGCTAGAAAAGGACTAAAATCCATTGTGGATTAAATGCTAAATAGCATGGCAGAATTTGTAAGTGCTGTTAGATTTTAAGAAGGGGTTTGAAGAAAGCCCCCCCAAGAAGGGAGCCCGTATAAAATGAGCCAGATTTATAAAGAGAAGGCAGACCTCAAAGAATAAAGACACAGGAGGGGAAAGGACCAGAATGAGCTCATGAAACCATGAGTGGCTTTAAGGAGAATGACATTTCCCCTTGTTTTCACAGACAAAGCCATCAATATTAAATTCGCCAAGGGGTGATAGTAATGCAGCTATGAATGCAAGTTTCATTCCCCCCATGAATGTTGTCTGAGTGCCTAAAATGTGCTGGGCCCTATGCTAGGTGCTTTGCAACCTTTACTGGTCTTTCCTGAAGGATGCAATGGAGAAAGAGACAGACATGGTTCCTTTCCACTCGCAGTTTACAGCACAGCAGCTGACATGAGGAAGGTCTGAAACCTGAGGAACTGGAGGGTGAGCTGACTGGAGGTTTATTACGGAAACATGGAAAATGCCACAAGATATGAAGAACTATGGCAAACTCCCAGATGCCAAGTCTTGACTCCTCCTTACATTATATACAAAATTAAATTCCAGCTAAAGTCTTGAATGTAAAAAACAAAACAGTACAATAATAAGATGAAAATTTTGATGAATATTTTTGTATAACCCCAGACAGAGAAAACATAAGTCAGTAAACACAAAAAGACATAATGAAAAAAATAACAGGTTTTTAATTTTATAAAAATATTTTAAAAATATGTCCAAAGACACTATAAATAAAGCCAACTGAAAAAGTACAGATTTGGTGAAAATCCTTGCAATACATGTAACATATCCTCATTATTCAAAGAATATCTTCAAATTGCTAGG